CGTAAAATTTCTTCTTTAGGGCCTGAACGAAACATAAACCTTACAAAAAGTGAAACTTGCACTGTATCATTTATGTCACAAGACTCGTCAACTGCTATTGATAAAGCCGAAACCAATTTCAGATCTTCGATATGTTGGGTGGTTATATTCGAACACATTTTAATTGCTCAATCTTTAGTGGTTTTGGCAGACAATGGTACCTCTTTAATTCTTTCCAGAATATCTGCTTTGTTCTTAAAATCCCGAAATAGCCCTTCGGATTAATTTATCAAATTAAGATGTAATTTTTTTCTTACCAAGTTTTTTTAATGAAAATATTATTGTGTTTTCCGTGGATATTTGTGCCAGAGCCGCCCTTAAGGAGCAAAAGAGCCACATGCGGCTCTGGAGCCGCACTTTGCAGACCACTGCGCTAGCGGTATATGTATGAAGCCCTTCTTCCTCACACATCCATTTCTCCCATATTTTACGAACTTCATTTTTAAACACCCAGTTTACTGTGATATCAAGGGGTTGCAATTTTTTTGCCAACCCCCCTCGGATGATGGCTATATCAGTCAACAGTTTATCAAATTTTTTTTCATTGTTTCCACCCTATAAGCAGTCAGTGAGTCCATGATGAGTAATGACTTTGGTGAAAAAAAGGAGCCCTTTCGGAGTCTATAAACAACATCTAACCACTGCAACATCATATTTTCATTCCTCCACCCCTTTTCGTTAGCATAAACAGCTATTTCCTTAGGGAAATTGCCCTTTGGAATAGTTTTTCGTTTAAAGATAACGAGGGGTTTCAGTTTCTCCCCGCTGGCTGAGCAGGCCAACACACAAGTGAAGCTCGATTTCTCGTGGTCTGTTGTTTCAATTGAAACAGTTTGCTTGCCTGTTTTGCTGACAGTGCGTGAAGGGGGACAATCAAATGTAAGAGGCACTTCATCCATGTATATTATTTGATTAGGAGTGAGGTTAGACCCCCTCACAATATTTTGTACAAAATCTACGAAGTTGTCTCTTTGTATTTCCTAGTCAACGGGCAAAGATTGCCCCACTGTTGTCCTTGCTCTTATGGACAAATTCCGGCGCTTCATGAAGCGAAAACACCATGAAGGGTAGGCAGTAAATGCGGAGATACCCATATTTTGAGCAATTAATTTTGCCCGCAGTCTCATCCTAACGGTTGAAACCACATGCCCTTTTTCTCTTTCACTTAGCACCCATTCCTTCAGTTTGTGTTCCAGTTCTGGATACTTGGTAATTCCGCTTCTCCTGGCTCTTTTATTTCTAGGCATTTTTTCTATAATTGGCTTTTCTTTTCTCCATCGACGGATGCAGCGTTCCTCTATCTCAAACTCTCGGCCCGCTGCTCGATTGCCAATTTCTTCAGCTCGTTTAATAACAGACAGCTTTAAGCTGGCAGTGCAACTCCTATTCTTTCTTGAAGCCATTACGTTGATGAAGAAAGTAAATGTTAACAGGGATAGTATGAGGAAAAATAATAACGAAACAACTAATAATAACTAATAACAGGAATAAGAAATAACTAAGCGTGTATCAAAAAAAAATTCTCAAGAAGGAATGAGCTGAGCGGAAACGATTTTTACTTTCACAATCTTCGGGGGTGGAATTTTAGTGAGTAGAATGCCCTCTCGTTCAATGGAAATTACACAATATGACTCAGCTTGAAAAGAGAGGAGTAAAAACTTTAAAAGAGGATGTACCCAACCTCTTCCGCTTATCATTTCTACTGAAGCTGCTTAGGAGGAATCAATCAGTTATTTTTAAAGGGGTTGGGGAAAGGAAAAGGGGATACTTCCTTATCTTTTCGCTCCAATTACAATTGCCAAGGCGCGAAGCGGATTTCTAGCTTATGATCTTTCTTAAAGTTGGGGGTGGATACAAGTTAGCAGGAATGAGAGTAGTAAAAAAGAGGAAATCCAAGAATGAATATACAGTGGGACTTCTATTTAACGCACTTCCATTTTACGATTTTTTTCGAGGAACTAAGAACATTTTGAACATTTCTTCATAAATAACTTTCAAATAGCAAAGTGAATTTTCGATTTAACGAACTTTTCTTTAAAATCCATCCCTATTTCCCAAAATATTTCAGAACATTTCAAAATTGTTAGCGCATTTTATGGGGAAAATGATCTTGAATTGATTTTCAAAGCCACTTAACTTTTGAAGAAAGCAGTAAATTCCCTTTCCCTTTTTGTTTTCATTTCGAACGAAAAACTTGGACAAAATTAACGAATTTTATCAGTAGCAGTTAAACTTAAGAACGAATGTGGTAATGTACCATGTTTAAAATTACTTTTATAATAAATGCAGCTATAATTTTATACATAAATTTAGATTCTTTTTCTTTTTTACTTGAAAATGTATGTAGCGTGATAGTGTAACACTGGATAATGTTTTGCTCTATTCTTGCTTTCCATGCAGATTTCTTTTATGGTAAATATTTATAAAATAAATAGTAGATACTAGTTTACAAGATAAAGGTGTATCAATTGCTATTTTAATTATGTCTAGGGCTTAAGAATTTAAAACTTGTTTTGTGTTGTTTAAGTATTTCAAAAGGTGATTTAGTGAATTTTCCATACAACGAACTTATTATCGGGATTTAAAAACTTCGGTAAATAGAGGTCCAACTGTGTTTTTATATATATATACAGAATATCCAAAAATTTGACCAAAAAAGTGCGACTTTTAAACTATGTGAATATAAATTCTGATGATTAATTTTAAACTTAACAAATATAAATCCTGATGCGTGGATTTTAAATCTTGTGAATATGAAACTCTATATTAGAGTTCAAAAGTACGAAAATACAATAAATCATGATGTCATTTTTAGATAGCGTAAATAAGAATCATGATGCATAATTTTTATCAGCTAAATATGAAAATCGATCTTTGGTAATAAAATCGCGATTTTTGAAAATGCACAAATACATATCGCGATATTGGATTTTTAAATCTCGTAAATAAGATTAGCAATGTACGATATTTAAATTGCGTGAATAAGAATCACAACTTTTAAATCAGGTAAATACGAAAATCGATGTTTGATATTAAAATCGCGTGAATAAGATCCAGATATTAGCAGATTCTGGGCTTGGGATTTCTAAAAGGCTTGTTTGTATTGTTTTCGTTTAACCTTAATAAAAATTTACAAAATTGGCAAATAAATATTTTCACCGCAAATCCACCGCTATTTTTTTATTTATTATTATTATTTCGTTTGCTTCTTGTCAATAAACAGGAAGCAGCGACGCCTGAATTACGAAAGTACAAGCTATCTGGCGGCCGGGGGCAATAATGCAGAAAATCTTATTTTCTGTGCTTAAAAGTGGAGAAAATAACTAAAATAAGAAAAATGGCGCAGGGTTTGCAGCTAAGTTGCTTGAATTTTTTGTTTATCTTCGAAAAAAATTATTTTATTTTAACCACTTAATTTTCAGAAAAAGCAGAATATTTATAAAATTAAAAAAAAACGAAAATTTTAGAGAATCAGAGTTTTTGATTTAAAAAAAAAACTTTAATTTGTTAGACAAAAGCGGAAATCCGCTAAAAAAGCAGAAAAATCTCATCCTTGAAGATACATACCTTTTATTTATTTAATTTTTTTTTTTTTGCGATGTTTTTTTTATAATATATAAAATCTATTAGATATACATAAAATCTATAGTATATATAAAAATCTATTGATGGTGTCGTAGTTTTCCATTGTTGTCAGCGTACTTTTTTATTGGTTGGAAAATTCACATGGTAGGATCCAGTTTTCCCACAATAATTTTCATATTAGTTTGGTTGCCATCAGCATAAAATTAATATAAGTCATAAAAGTATATATGTTCACTAATAGATCTTAATAGTATCATAAGGGAAATATTTGGTGGCTGGACAAGTGTTCTTTTTACTACATATATCTTTAGTTGAATTATTTCAACTGTTGCCAAGAAACAGCAATTAATGCGAACCAATCATTAGGGTTGGATTAGCTCTCCTAGTTGAGTAAAAATATACACAATTAATATCTTTTTCTTTTTATTTTATTTTTTAAATCCCTGGTTACAATTAAATATTAATAATTCTTTTAAAATAAATAAATTGTGCAACTGTTGATGGGTAATAAAAGAAATTAGGAAGTATTATTTTAGAAGCATTGAGTCAAGATGACGCAATGAAAATAATAAATAATAAATGTAATAAGAAATATTACACAATGTTAATGTATTTGATATAAAGATTTAAAAATTTGATATAAAGATTTAAAAAAATTTGAAATTGTATATTAATAGAATATGTAAAATTGATTAAAAATAAACACAATTAATATCTATTTCCTTCTTTTTTTAAATCCTTGGTTACAATTAAATATTAATAATCTTTTAAAATTAATAAATTGTGCAACCATAGATGGGTAAAAAAAGAACTTAGAAGTATTATTTTAGAAGTATTGAGTCAAGATGACACAATGTTAATAATAAATAATAAATGTAATAAGAAACATTACACAATGATAATGTGCTTGATATACATGTTTGAAAACTTGAAAGTTTTATAATTTTTAAAATTGTATAAGAATATAATCTGTAAAATTGATTAAGAATAAACAAAATTAATATATATTTCTTTCTTTTTTTTAAATCCTCGGTTACAATTAAATATTAATAATCTTTTAAAATTAATAAACTGTGCAACCATAGATGGGATAAAAATGAACTTAATAACCTGTTGGAGAATTTTTTCAGGCTTTCTGCAACAGAACTATCTAGCTCTAATATCTTTCTGAAAGAACCCTGCTGCACCCATGAACGCAACAAAAAGTGATTATTTTAATAGGCAATTCAAATTTTACGTGCATAATTACTGCATTAAAGAAAACCGAAATTTTTTTCTTTCTAAAAGGAAAAAAACTTTCTGCAAGAACTCTGTTTACATTAGGAATGAGTGATAAGGATTGAGTCAGGATTGAAATGAAACAGAGACACACTTACGACAATAGTCTTCATATCCCCTTCCAAAAACCTCTTGAGTGGACTCACAAATGTTGTCATGGATGCACGAACAAACTCCCTCTCTGCAGCCCCAAGTCTTTGCTGAGCTTGTCCAATCTTTATTAAAGCTGTACCTGTTCATACAGATGCAAATGATTATTTATTTCACAATAAAAATATTTCAAAGAATATTAAAAAGGAAAGAGACAATTTAAAGTCAGTTCCTACTTTGGTCAACAAAGAAAAATTTTATTTTAGTAACTTTTTATTAAATAATTGCAACTTTTTCTCCCATAAAAAACTAATATTAATTAATTAAATTTAATGAATGAATTAATATTTGAAAAAAAACTGTTATTAACATCAAGTGTCATCTACTACAAGTTTAAACAGAAATGTATTTGAACTTGAGTGGATGAATATAAAGTATTTTATTAACAATTGAAATTTTGAACAAGATATATAAATATATAGAGAGCGAGTGTGAACTAATAGCAGGAATTTTAAAAAAAAGATGTATAAAAAAGATATATAAAAAGATGATGGTTTTTTATATACAAGATATATAAAAAACCAACACAAAAATGTGGATTTATTGTTTCTTAAGAGACACAAAAATAAAATTTTAAGATAAAGTATTTTGTGAAACCGTTTTTCCTAAAGTTGAATTTGAGAAGGAACCGCTAAACGGTAGTAAATTCAGCCTGGACAAACCCCTGAGTAGGAATTAATAGAATGAAAAAACAAGACGTGTGGTACCAGAAAACTATAAAAGTATAAATTTGGTGAATGGTCTTTATTGAATTTATCTGAAACAGAGAATATAAAATTAAATATTTAAATGTGGGCAATAAACTATTGTTTTGTTCAAATAGAGCTAAAAGTTAAAAATTATCACTGGTGTTATCTTTAAAATATGTGAAAAACTGAATCGCTTATAGTAAAATTTAAAACAATGACTAACGCATAACCAATCGGAAAATTCCATTTCGTTTTTCACTCATCCCTATTTAATTAATGAATTAATATTTCAAAAAAAACTGTATTCACATCAAGTGTCATCCACTACAAGTTGAAAAAAATGTATTTGAACTTGAGAGGATGAAAAGAAATATTTTATTAACAATTGAAAATTTGAAAAAGAGTATTACAAAATCAGTGATTTTGACAGACTTCAGAAACTATAGGTTCTTAGGACACAATCTTCCAAATTTGGGGGCAGCTACTAAAATGGGCTCAAATTAAAAATAACACAAATAACTAGCAACATTTTACATTTTCAAAAATTAAAAAATTCTATGTGAAATAATGATACTCCAGACGCAAAAAAAAAAAACTAGAGAAAAGCAAGTTTTTAAAATTAAAAAAAAAATGAATAAAATAAAAAATGATTTGTGATGTAAAGCAGATGAATTCTCCACCTCTTTAATTAAAATGTTTTTTCGTTTTTTTAATATCCGTCATTGAACAGCCGACCCAATTTTGGATTGACAACTACTAATGTTCAACTCTGTAGCCTTGTAATTTTGAACCAGACCAGAAGACAAGGAAACTCCTGGATCAGTACCCTCAGAGATATTGATTTGTTATGGGAACATGGAGGACTTTGCGACTCGATAGATTTAACATGCATCAGTCACCATTTACTACACAGAGAGTCTTCGGCCGGCAGAGATTGAACCCACGACCTCTTGGACACGGGCCCAGTGCCCTACCAACCAGGGTATCCTGGCCCTAATTACAAATTTATAATGATCTTATTTATTGCAAGACAAAACAAAGAGTTTCCAAATAAAGGAAAAGTTACATTTGTATCCATAGCTTTTAATTAGAGCTGATCAAATGTCATTATGTAAAAACAACAATATATATATTTTATTTTTTTAAAAATTTGGTTTAATTTTGCAAACATAAATCTGCTCAAGCACTATTTTGCTATTTTTCTTGATGTAGAATACACATCCCTGAGTCATAATTTTTTTTTGTTACATCCCCTCTGCAACTTTTAGCATAGATAAGAAAATGCTGAAATTACATTTTTTTTTTTAAATAATTATAATAATACTATCAACTCTAAACACAACATAAAACAAGGACAACATATTGAGTAACATATGTCATTATAAGATTATAAGATGTCATTGTTAGAGTTTTAATGCTAGTTGTTAAAGTGTGGAAGAGTATAAAATCTTATTTACTATTTTCACACTACCTATGCATATTTGTTTAGAGCAAACTGTGGGGAGAGTAGATATCAACAATGTCAATCTTCGTCTATGAAAAGGTACCCCAAAATAGAATCTAGTTAACACGTCTTATATACTACTGAATTGGAATTACATTTTTGTACTGGTAGATACATTACAGTCCTACCCCACCAGAATTATACATGTGATAGAATTCGATGAACGGATACCACTAGATGATTCATTGCTGTTTTGTGAGAAGCTGGGAGAGCTGTATTAAGATCACCGTACTTTTGAGTGCTGATCGTGAGAGCTGTAAAGTTCACGGCCGTGGTCGTTCCTGTGTTGTCTTTAGCAGTCGAGTGTATACAGGCCGACATTGTCTGTGATCGAGACAGAGTAGCAACGGCGCAAGGAGGACTATGTCGCAGTGACAAGTAGCAACTCAAGTGTTCAATGTGGACCATCCATTGAAGTAGGAGAGTTCAAATCTAGTGAGCATTTCTGCCTAGGTAGGCGTGTTCACATCACGTCAGAAGGTCAACAATGTGGGGAGAAATATCGACAATGTCAACCTTCATCTATGAAAAGTACCCCCAAAAGTATCTATGAAAAGTAACATAAAATCGTGTTAACATGTCTTATATACTAGTGAATTGGAATTACATTTTTGTAGTGGTAGATACACTACACTAACTATTACCGAATAAGTAGAATAATAATTTAATATTTATAAATTAAATTATTTTCCTAAACAGAAAATATGATCAAACATTCGTAAATTAAATACTTACATAGAGAGCAATTGATTGTGCCAGATTTTGAAAACTATGGGCCTTATTGTCTAGGACTTCCATATTTTTGGGTCTCTATTTACTAAAAGCGGATCCCACTTTAAAGATGAATTCTCTACCTCTTCATCTGTCTACTATTATTCACATTTATAATTAATCTACCAACTGATAGACAAAACAAAGAATTGCAAAACAAAAAGGGTTACATTTGAATGATCAAGAATTTTAATTAGGTTTGCCAAGGGAAAATCAAGGAATCAAGGAAAAATAATGATATTGTTTGTACTTAGAATTATCTCATTCTTTCTACAGCTTTCTATAACTAACTATAACTGTCTTGTTCAGCTATAAATAAAAAAGAATTTTTAAAATTATATATTTAAAGTTTGGCTATAATTTTGCTTGCATAAATCAACAGTTGGGCTTTTTTTAATGCTTCAAAATTAGACATCCTAGGGAACATAGCTAATTATTCGTGTACCTTCTTGGAGTATTTGACTTGCTATTTTCCATAAGCAGAATCACTCACACATTTCAAGACATGAAAAGGAATAGTTTGAGCATTAAATTTTACACAGGGCTACAACTCAAATCTAGAAAAAAAAATCCCCTGTGTTTTCCTTGTACGTATTATACACAATATATTAAGAGGAAACAATTACAGTGCTCTTGTATGAACTATATTGGGGTAACTATACTAGTTTTAATTGTTGGAAAAACTTGAGTAAAAAAGGAACAGCTGATATTTGTGACATGATTAGTGGAAATTAAAAATTATGTTAAAAAACCATCACATAAATATGTAAAGTAAGAAAATATTTTTAAAAATTGTCACTACAAATAAAATTCATTTATGATCGGTAAGTTTCTATATATTTTTCCTCACATATTCAAAAATAATTTTGCTATTGTAAAACTTTGGCCTCAAAATTGTATCCAAATTTAAAATCACTGTCCGTAGCTAAATTTCAATTCGAATTTAATAAAAACATGCATTTAACAGTAAAAAGTCATTTTTATTATGAGAATATTTTCGACTAGGTCATACAGAAAAAAGTTTCACAGAGAAAAAAATTTTCATATAAATGTCTGTTCAAATAAATTTACAATAGTGTTTAAGATAATGTTCAAATGTTTAAAATAATGTTTGAATTTCGACTTCCTGTACAGTTTATAGAGGGAGAACCTCATCCTTTCATTTTAAAAAACTCAGCAAAAAAAGCTCACTTTGATATGGTGTAAGCGACCTGTTAGGCTTACCACATTGCACTATCTGACTAAATATGTGCTACCTTTTCATAAAAGACAGCTGGCAGAAAAACTCCTCTTTTCCATAGATTGCAACGAGAACAGGGTTTGTATGAAAACTTTCCTTTTTAAAAATATTTTGTGAAACTACCGTTTTTCCCAAAGTGGAATTTGTGAAGGTACTGCTAAATGCTAGTAAATTTACCCTGGACAGATCCCTGCATATAGTGTTTTCTTGAAACAAAATGTATTTTTCAGAAAAGTTTTTACCATAAGGGGTTCCGGATCCTAAATCAGCACCAGCATCAATCATATCTTGTCCCAGTAAATCTAAATTTGATGGATGCTCTCTTCGCTTATCAAGTTTCTCAAAAAAGTAATCTTCTACACGGGTATCTAGAAAAGACAAAATGCTTTCAATTTTTTTTTCCAAAAATAATATATAAAAAGAGAAACAACATTTTTAAAAATATATTTTCTTTCTATTAATAAAAAAATAAATAAATTTATTTTATTTTAAAAAAATATAAACACAAAAACCCAAACCAAATAAGAATTATTTGGAGCTTAGGGCACATTAATTTTGTAAGCTAGAGAAGAAAAGGTTAGAAAACTGATCATATATCACTTTCAAGTACAATAATTTAAGTACAATACTTAAAAAAAACTTTCAGAAATTGCAGGAGAAGGAAATTATAGGAATTCTTTTAGTACTTTTTTTTTTCTTTTTGTACATATTTCTCTTTGTACATTTTGTACAGATATTTAAAAGACTGTCATTTGTACTTACAAAAGTTACTTTTACAAAATTAAAAGAGAGAAAGAAAAAAATATTTCACCTAATAAATTTTTTTCTTAACAACACATAAAAAAATTATATATTATCAATATACATATTCTTCCTTTTTGCACTTAGCAAATCAACGCAAACTAAAAAAAAAGTATACACACATGCAGACCTGGAAGAATTTCATAGAGCATGAAAAATGATTAGTGCTTTCATACGTTACAGGCGGACGGTACGCGAAATGGATTTTGGTTGAATGAATTGTGAAAATTTTGGATGGAACAAAGTGAAAGCCCCACTTTTTGCAAGATTCGCGGTGAAAATCGATATGGTAAAAAAAATATATCTCATAGTGGAAAAGGAAAAATTAAGTACTTTTTAAAAACACTAAATGAAAAAAAGTGCCTTTAAGGACTTTCAAAAGCAAAAATTTAAAATAAGCCCTTCTTAAAAACGCTAAGCACCATGTTAAAAATATTGTTTTAAAAAACCATGTGAATATTAGCAGCAATAACTGTTTAAAAAAAGTCGATTGAAAAAACAGTGATATCGTTGAAACAAAAAATGATAAATAAATGCAGGAATAATTCATTATGTTGCGATATCAGCCGACTCCACTTTCCATCATCACTAACGAATTCATGACGACAGTCTTTAGTTGCAAAACAGCAGTGCTGATTCCCGATCCACAGAGAGTATATAAAGACTTAACTAATTGATATCCGTTTCTATTCTTCCGTTACCTATTCGCTCATGTTGTTTTGTGATACTTATGTGTTATTTTTGGATTATTAAAGATAGTTTTAAGTCGTCATGATTTTTCTTGAGGATACCTCGTCAATGATGCACACAATATAACAAATTATGTCGTAATAATTAAGTACAAAAAATTTTGGGATTTAAAAAACAGTAATAAAAAAACACCTCGTTTAAACACCAAAGGCCAAGTGGCAAGAAAGTAAAATTAGGCCTTTATCAGGTGCATATCTCAGGCTCAGAATGAAACTCTTCAATTTCCAAAAGCCAGTCTGAACTCATCTCTACCAAGCAGTGGCGTACGCAGAATTTTTTCAAGGGGGGTGTTCATAATTTTCTGAAACTACTAAAAGAAATTCGAGTCAGTAATAAAGCACTATTATTTCCCTAATTTAGACAGCTAGACAATTTTGACTTTTTATTTAGACAACATTGTTTAGTTAAATTTTGATTTGATTTTTTAAGTTTAAGAACATAATGTAATATTTTCTGAAAAAAGTTTAATGTCATATGGGTGGAAAGTAACACTTTGAGGGCCACTTTCACATTCATCAGATTTTGTTATGCTAGAAACATTTTCTTCAACGGAAGTATCACATTTCTGTACAACAGAAAAACTTACATTGGTATTAGATGCTGTCACCTCACTAATTTCAGATCGTGATTTTTTCTCAAAATAATTAAAAATTGCTAAATTCTTGTGTTAAAAATTGTTAAATCCTAAAGATCCAAGAACAGCAAATATATATATATATTGGCACAGAAATATCCGCTATGCTACGATCTCAAAGTTTCGAGCTGGAATGAATAACTTCAACGAGCACTTTATCTCCAATGGTATTGTTACTGATTTCTTCACTAGTCGAAATAGTGGCGACGACGGGTTCGGCGATTGAATGAACTTTTTGTTGAGATAAATTAAAACAGATTTAGCGACAAGCTCCGAAAGACAAGCGGCAGAGATAACTCTTAGTCTGACTAACTAACTCCACTGTACTCCGTTCCCCCTTTTATATAATTTTTCACCGCATCTCCAAAATTCTCGAATTGTCTCAAAGACGACAGAACGTCTAGGATTCCAGAATCATCGCGTAAAGACCTCGCGAATGACAGCCAGTCTCGAAAACTATACTGGTAGGACAGAAAGGAACCAGTCCGTAACAGTATCACGTGAATTTGGTTTCAAAAGTACAACCCTATTATGGTAAATGCTTTTTCAGTATTCTGAGAAATACCGTGAGAAAAAAAAATTAGGCATAAGGCAGATAAAAATATATAGCCTTAAAAAATAATAGCTCGCATAATTTCTACTAAAATTTTTATTTTTGTCTAATCTCAAGGGGGGTGTTTAAACCCCTAAACCCCTCCCTTGCGTATGCCACTGCTACCAAGTAACGTTCCATAGAAGCATAAAAATTTAAGAAAGTTCAAAGACATGTTATGATTAACTGCATGTCTTTTTCTGTAAGTTCTAAAAAAAGACAAATTTTAATGAGAAAATGTGTTTTGTAAGCATTTTTTTGTTATCCTGATGCTTTCTAAAGCTTAAGTTAAACTTAAACCTAAATCAAGTTCCTAAATTTAATAAAGCTTCACTAATATCCTTTCTCTCTAATTCTAGAATAGCGATTTAAACACAGACATTCTTATTAATTTTAAACAAATACTTGGATTGGGTTGAAGAACTGCATCAGTTCTTGATACAAGTCTTTCAGTCCAATGTTTTGTTCTATCAGCACGTAAAGCCAGTCCATCATAATGAGCATCAAGTTCAGTTTTTTCTGATGTACCAAGTTTCTCTTCAGTATACTTAAAAAAAAATGTACATTTTAAAGGAAAATCAACAACTGAACAATTTTTATGCAATAAGAACAAAATATGTTGCTACCAATTTATTAGAAAAGCTACAATTGAAATGTTATTAACAGATATTTCTTTTTAGCTAAATATCTAGAGTGTATATCAACATCAATTAAAAAAATTTCAGATAACATATACAACAACATATATTTTTGGATAATCACGCCTTATTTAATTAAAATGTAAGTCTAGAAAATTAAAATAGAAAGTGCTATTTTCAAGCAAACACTCTTTTAAATGATCACAATTTTGGAATTACTTTTATAATGTTTTGAATTTTGCACATTTGACTTGTTTTTATCTAGGTAATTGAATAATTCTTCGCAAGTCAGTCATTTCAGAATTTCAGTCTCGTGTTCTTGAAATTAATCTCAAACCGCATTTTGCTCTTACAAATCAGCATTATAAAAATAAAATAAAAAAATCACTTTAACTTTCAAGAAAAAAATTCACCTAAAAAGCTCTAATAAAAAAAAAAGAGAATACTGGTAAGGGAAGAATGAACGTTTGATGAAAGTTGATGAAATTTTGAATTGCTGAAACCTGCAAAAACTTTATCAAAATATAAAACTTTTTATATTGCATTTTAATAAATTTTTACAATTACTATTTAATCTGTTAAATCCTGGGATTCCAGCCAAAACCTGTAAGGGGTAGGTAAGAAACACCTGTCTCTTACCTCCTCAGGGGTCTGTCTAGGTTTTTCTGAGAGGTACCTATTTAAGAGGTACCTTATTTAGGCATAATTTGTGATATTAAAAAATCAACACAAAAATCTGGTAAAAATATGAATTTATCGCTTCTTACAGGATACAAAAATAAAATTTTAAGAAAAGGTATTTTGTGAAAGTTGAATTTGTGAAGGTACCGCTAAGCGGTAGTAAATTTGGCCTAGACAGACCCGTGATCCCCCTTACTTCATTGCCCCGTGACAGAATCGCAGCATGTTATAGAATCGCACATTGTCGCAGAATGTTATAGAGTTCTTGCAGAAAGATTTTTCTTTTGAAAAGTGAAAATAATTACTTTTCTTCAGAAGTTTACACGTAATAATTGAATCATGCATTTAGGTAATCACTTTTTGACGTGTTCAATTTACGGCGATAGTCCCTGTAGTTTAATATTAAGCTGATTTAAATGAGACGTTGCATCTACAATGAAATTAAAATTAATGGATCTTCTGATCGTACTTTAGTTCTGAGTGATAAACTCCATTTCCAGGAGAAATGCTTTAACTTTTAATAATGAGGATCCCCGAGGCAGAATCGCAGCGACACGGCGACATTGTCCCAGAACATTAGAGAGTTCTTGCAGAAAGACTTTTCTTTTGAAAAGTAAAAAAATTACTTTTTTTTTCTACAAAATTTTACATGTAATATTTTAATGATACATTTAGATAATCACTTTTTGACGAGCTCAATATACGCCAATAGTATCGTAAATCAAAGTAATGTTTCGATTGAATTTTTGGCAGTTATTGATATTGATTTTCACACGGTTTTTAAATATCCCGACACATTTCAAACAATATGTAAAATTCGAATTGTGCATTTGAGTATTTACTTTTAAAGGTAATGATTCTATTGAATTTTTAGCAGTTATTGCTATTGATTTCTCCATAGCTTTTAAGCCCAATGTTTTTTATACAATATTATTTATTAGAACAACCTAATCTTGAAACAAAACACGCATTTGAGGAGTCCGATTGGCGTGACTTCGTTGTCGATCTTTTTTTTCGGCAATTACTTATATGGATTTCATGATTTTTAATTCTATTTTTTACTGTGATGATTATTTACAAAATGCGAAGAAGGAAATAATTTGTGCGTATCCCCTCCCCCCAACAAAATCCGAGAATATCACCCATAATAGTAGAATAAAAAATTATTACATGTTCAATTGAAAAAAAAATTCTAGTAATATAGTTTTCTTTAAGTAAACACAGCACTTTTGTTATTTTAAATTAGTAACATATATGTTGGTTGTTGGTTATTATTCATATAACATATATGTTTGTTATTATTGAAAGTATCTTGCAGAAAGATATTAGTGCTAGAGAGTTTTGTCGCAGATAGCTAGAACAAATTCTGCCACAGGGCTTCATTGTTCAAACCCCTTACTTCGTTGTTCTTATTGATTAAACCCTTAGAGGTGTGATTTACACAGAGAGAACTTTGTCATGTGATTCACGGACAATTTTCAGTCAAGAAAACCCTATCCCTAGTCTTTTGCTATGGATATGGATTACTGAGCTGTATTTCAAACTATAAATTTCAATTAAAAATGGTCGCTTACTGCTGTACATACTGATATGAAGAAAAAAATTTTAAAAAGAACATTTTACATTTCACAAATAAGATTTTTATTCTTTTATACTCGTTATTAAACATTTATTTCTGATTTATATGTCAGCACGAAAGGTTATAAAATGAATTTAATTGTTTTTTAACCTGTAAAATAGCTACTATTTTTTATACATTTATTTAAATTGATAGATTATAATGTAGTTAACATATATAGGTATTCCATTACAGTTAAATTTCATATTGATATAAAATTTCGGATATTTATACTGCTTTTTTTTATGAAGCACGTGCATTGAATTTGGCGCATTATTTTTACGCCAATATTTTGTAAACAAATCTCTTCTTATTTTTACTCTGTAATTTATATTGATGCTTGGTGGAAATGAATTTTTTGAAGCAATTTCAAGTGAATTTAATTAGATATTCTAATTTGTATTTTAATACAATTAATAAATTTTTGGATCAAAAATAAAATCATCTTTTAATAAATTTCCTCATTAAATAAAATTTATAAGCTGAGGAATATTAATTTTTTATTACTTAGAAAATTATTTTATTATATAGGAACAATTGCTTGAATATTAATATTTATTCAGGAAATTTTTACAATTATTATTCAGAAAAATATTAACTAATTAAAACTTAATTGGCATGACTGTATTTTCTTAAAAATAAGTTGTCAAAGGTGTAGCTATTTATTATTATTATATACATTTTATTTTCACTTTTGAACATAAAAAGGAATATTTCTCTTTTTGATTATAAAAAAAAATTATATTAAATGTTAATTAAGTCACGAACTATCAATATGTCAAACAGCTAGGTACATATTATTCTTATGTGGAATTTTGTAATTCTAATTTAAATCAAGAGACAAATAACAAAACTAAAATTTGTTAATTTAGTTTAAATACTTTTATCATTTTAGGGTAACTCACTAAAATTTTAAACTTATGAATTGGTTAAAATAAATTATTATTGCATAACAAGCAAATTAGGATCCCAAATTGTAAAACATGTATCAATATTAATATTTGTTTTAAAAATGAAACGAAATATTTTGTTTTTGTCAGAAAAATAATCAGATAATACAATCAGATAAATAATAAATAAATATCAGAATAATAGTACCAATAAATATCAGAGAATAAAACTAAAACCATAAAGAAGTTAAGCAAAAGATGAATTGTATACCTGAGTAGGGATGGACATAGATATATATTATTTATGTATATATATATTTAGATAAAAAATTGCTAATTTAGTTGTTCTGCTATTTATTATTTTTTTATTGCTATACGTAATCTCAATAAAATTTTATGCATTGATTAAAATTAATTATAATCAGAGTTATTTATATGCAGGGTATCTACTACAGTTTAGATTTTCAAATTCATTACTTTTTATGACTTCCCATGACAAATTCCAAGAATTTTTCATGACTTAACAAAGTTACCATTTTCTCCACAAAAATGCAACAATAAATTTAAAAAAGCATTATAATAACATTAATTGAAATGATAGGTATAACCAAAACTGTTATACTCTGCATCTTCATATTTATAGATTTTAAATTTAAAAAACAGAGTAAAGAAAGAGTTGAAGCAATAAAATAGCTAAAAAAATACAAAAGCAAATAATTATATCTTATTTTATTTGTGCAGAACTATATTCTAAAGATACTTTTTTTGTTCATCAGAAAGAAAAGAAATACTCCTGATTTTCTTGTTCTCATTTCGAAATAAAATTAAATTAGCCAATGACTGGCTTGCTTCAGCTAGAATTTTCAATTGATAAAATAAAATTAAAAAAATAATAACAAAAATTCTGAAATCACAGAAGTTTAAAAGATAATTCGCTCTAAAAATGATGTTTTTTCCTTTCATTTTTTTAAAGAACACCATAATTTTTACAGAACATGATAAAAACATTTTATATTTTAATAAAATATGACCGTGAGTGGAGATTTTGTTACAAATTCAGATATTCGGGACACCATGAAATGGGGGGGGGGTAAATTCTAAGGCGTTAAAAATTAGATTTCCATGATTTTTTTAAAAAAACAGCTAAAATCATAACATTTCATGACAAATTTTGTTCAATACTGAAAATTATGACTTTCCATAATTTCTCATGACTTTCCAGGTGAGCAGATACCCTGTATATGACCAATTGATGTATATATGTAAGGAAAACATGTTTTAAAAATTTAACTCAATATTTTTTAGGGGGAAAAATGAAATAAATATGTAGTACTAACAATTCCTAAAGTAAAGCATTTCCACAATAGCCCGTTGAGGGATCATAAATGCTAAGCTGCTACAATTTTGAGACCAACAGCCATAATAGTGACAAAATATTCCTGTATGATGCAACCGCCAACTATGAATTTTTTGGTAAGGTAACCCCTTTACCAGTTCACTTTTGAACAACTTTTCAGAGCCCTGTTAGCTATCTCTACCCTAATATTTCCTCTAAGGTTAAACGACCTGACTTTTGTTTGTCTCTTTACTTCTCTACCTTCATTTGACGTTTCGACACTGAGGAAGATTCTTGTTTATAGAACTGAAACTATATTATGTCTATTTATTTACTTTTATTTGTGCTTTATTCTTGTTGCCTTTTTGCTTTAAACAAGAAAATGTCCTAATAGAAATGGTATTAAGACGCAAATTAGCATAAAAATAAAAGATAGCAACTTTCAAATTAATTTTTTCACACATGCAAAACTCATTAAATATGTTATAAATTAAATGATTTGATTAATTCGTAAATTTTGTCATTCCATATGCACAATAATTTTGTTTTCTCTAGGGAATTTTCTCATATCAGTACCAGTTCATGTCTACTAAAATCATCAAGATTTCACTGCCTGGTGTTGGTACTTACAAAAGAATTATCATGGATAGCCTTTGTCCCTTCTGTGATGTTCTTTTATTTATTTGTTATCACTTTTTTTAGTTTCTCACGTACCACTTCCTGATTATCACCAAAACTTCGCAATCTAATCTGAAATCTAAGCATGAAGGCAGTTTAAAAGAAGAAAAACCTCAAATTTACTAAGATGCATGAGTTATAATTAAATAAAATAGAAAATAAAGAAGAAATTTACGTGTAATAACAACAAGAGGGGATGAATTGACTATTGATCAGTACACATACAGAGAAAAGAGATTTGAAAAAAAAGTTTGTATACTTAGGAAACATTTATCATCATGAAAGAAATGTATTTCAGTCATCGTAATAGCCCAATGACGAAAAATATTTTCTTTAATAATTAAAGTATAAGATCTTTGAAATAAACGATCCTGTTTAATAGTCAAAAATTAAGAAATCTCATTAGAAATTTAAAAATATTTTTTATTGTATACATACTTGAACTGCTCGACTAAAAGCAGTAGCTGCATCGGCAGCAAATCCTTTAATAGATTTCATACTGAAATCCATAATAAACTTGGAACTAAGAAAGGATTTAAGATGTGGAGAGTTTGGGAAACTTCTATCTAATTATTTGACATAGAATATCAAACCATACTACTCTTTTTTGATCGAGAGATCAGTCTTTCATATTACTAAACTTTAATGATTAGACATATTAATTCTGATTCTAGCGATGCGCTTCTGACTACTTATTTCTTTAATAAATAAGACTCCGCAATTTAGTACAAACCTCTTTTTAAAAAAGAGGAAATTGCTCAGTTGGGAGCTTTGTCATTTTAAAGACATTTTTTTCTAGACTTCCAAATCCATAGAAACTGCATTTTTTCGGAGTGTTGACTTTTTATTTTTATATTATAACCGTCATTGAGCAGTCGACCAAGTTCTTTGGGTTTACAACTGCTAATGTTCAACACCGTAGCCTTGCAATTTTGAACCCAATCGAGAAGACAAGAGAATTCCTGGATCGAGCATTGGGGGAAATTTGCCTTCGCGGAGGACTTTTTGATGGAACTAACCCGCATTTGCGTTACATGGAGAAGAAAACAACGAAAACCATCCACGGTTAGCCTGACGGCTAGGGGACTCTAAGCAATGATCCGCCTACCACTGTAGGTAATTTACGGCAGCACTATGGTCGGTGTGAGCCCTGTGCGAAATTCGTATCATCCAGCTATCACTGCGATTTGAGCTCGGTTCACCTCATTGGAAGGCGAAAGCTCTATCCCCTGAGCCACCACGGCTCTGTCAGAGACCAAAGCCGTCATTACTCTATAGATGGGGTTTTCTACACTAGGGAACGCTGCAAGCTCGGGACTGCCTAAATTTCCGGGTTACTGTTTCAGTTGTATGTTAAAGGCATTTGGCATCATTGTGTTTTGAGATTCTTGCAAACAATGTATTTGATTACTTATTACTTGTGTTTACAATGCTAACAATACTTGTGTTTACAATACTAAAAGTGTTAACACCAACGTAAGATGGTGCACAGCTTGCAACACGAGCAAACAGTAATAAACAAATGGAAAGAGGCCAAATCAAGACTGCCAAAAAAGCGAGATATTCAAAATCTAGCAACCATGTCACCTTTTTTAATAATAAATAACAAAATAACTAAAACAAATTTTCACTCCAAACTCCCCAGAATTGCATAATAACATTAATATCTTATGAAATACGGCAGATTTGAGCTCAGAAATTATCCAATTTATTTCTTTTATTGAAAACAAAATTATCCGTTTGAAAACATCGCCTATCAGAATAACATGTAGTAAGCAGCTGCAAACTTTTTAACCTGAACTAGAGTAGGTGCCGAGCTCGAGATTGTTATTGTTTACATTCCTATTGAAAACACCATCCATAATGAACTGTTGCTTCTTTTGAGCATGTCATAATAAGGAAAGCGTCTCTAGTCTCGTACATTTCCAAGCATAGATTCCTATGCAATGAAATTTGAAACCTGTAACTTGATGTACTTTTAACTCACTTAGAAGTTTGCTGCAATAGTTACGCGACTCCTGTTATCTACAACGTTTTTAAAGTTGTATCTTTGGACTAAATAAGGACTGAAATACGTCCTTTTTTTTTTTTTTTTTTTTTTTTTAAAAAAATCAGTAGTTGTAGAAGCAAAACTAATTTTAGATCCCGAATTAGGCAAGATCAAGTATAACAACGCAACAAAATTTGCTCCCCAGCGGAATCATACTTGAATGCGGAAATGATTATTTGATTGGTTCAACCGAAAGTTGATGACAGTTTTTAAAATGCTCTCAATTAATTCCTTACACTTGAAAATTACAACAAAATTATTAACTTGAAAATTACAACTTTTATTTGATACTAGCCAATTATCACCAGAGTATTTATAGTTACTTGTACTTAAGAATCACAACCCAAAATTAAAAATTCGGCAGCAAGAAAACAAAGTCAGCATTCTAAGAGATCAATCTTAAAAATTAAAGAAATTTTCGCAAAAACTCACTATTTAATATTTTTTAAATAAATTTTTTGAAGGAAAAAGAAGCTAAAAAGTAGAAAAATGAAGTGAATTAGGACGAAGGATAAAATTACGTTTAACATTAGATTTTATTTTTAAATATCTGAAAGATTTTATAAAAAAAAAAAAAAAAAAAAAAATTTAAAACTTCAACATTTTACAACGAAAATTATTCAGGTTGTACATTTCCAAAAACAGAGTCCCAAACCCCTATCTTGAACTAGATTCTTTTGAAACAGTAAGGAGTTCAACTTATTTAGGATCAATTTTATTACTGATATGTCTCCTGAAATAATTTAAAGAAACTGACTCTATCTGGCAAGCTCAAAATAAAATCTGACCATATGGCTGTCTATGGGCTGAGAAGTTTTATTAAATCTAGGTCTCTTTCTGGAAAAAAAAAGTTCTTAATTTGCAAAACTCTTGTCAGGCCGGTCTTGACATTTGCTTCTGAATCTTGGACAATGGCAAACTGCATGAAAATTGTATCACAATATTTGAGAGAAAGATATTTGGTGGTGTAAATTAAAACAATAACTGGAGAAGGAGATTTAACTTTGAACTGCACAAGATTTATAAACATAATATTATTAAATACATAAAAATAAGCAGAATGAATTGGATGGCCCTCTTAATTTGAACGAGTGATGACAATACAATAAAATGTATATTGCTTTTTAGACCCACTGGAACAAGAAAGCGGAGAAGCCGCAGTTAAGATAGGCTGATTCGGTGGAGTCTGATTTTCTTGCAATTAATGAAAAGAATTGGAGATTAAGGATAAATCGAAAGTCGCTATGGAGAAATTTTCAGAGGAAGGCACTGGCCCACGTTGGTCTGTCTGGCCAACTATGATGATGATGGCATTTCATCATTTCAACTACTACATATTGTGTGTTTTCAGCACTAGATTTACCAATCAATGCTACCTGAAGCTGATTGACCATTGTTGCTAACCTGTCTGCATTATCCAAATAAATTCCACCAATACTTACTACAAAAGAGCATACTTTATGAGAATTAATGAGTTTTTACTTAAAAAAGTCCTTAATCGTTTTTTGTTTTACATTACTTTGGCACTTTTCAGTTGCAATGCTTCGCCATTTTTTTTAGGGATAATAGGAAGGCTGGTGTCGTCTCTTCTTGTTGTTTTATATATATTCAACAGCACTTTCGATAGCCTTTAGTTCATCTATTTGAGAGATTTTTGTACGTTGACTTTCATCGTCAGTCTTCATCATCTTCGCTAGATTCATTTTTATTATTGACGATATTAACGATTATTTCATCGGTAATCTCGTGTTGTACGTCAGATTGTTTTCCTGAGTGTTCGGAAGATAAAATTCAGAATTTCCTGCAGCGGTAGTTTAAAAATGAACTAGAAAAAATATTTGATTGTTGCTCGATTAAAGCGGAAACTCGGATAATCAGGACTCTACTGTACTTATATTTAAAAAATAATCAACTAAACTTGAAAAATTTTTTTAAATACAGAATGTGTGATACAATAAAAAAATTAATTAAAAGTAATTTTACTCACTAAAAGTAAAATTGTAACAGTTCAAATTGGAAACTGTCAATCTCTCATTTGAAATAAGTTTGTTCTATTTTAAAAATTACAACATGAATGTTAAGATTTATATTTGACAAAATGTAATATTTTTCTTTTGTTACATTCGAAATCAACTCAAGCAAGAGCTTATAAAACAGGGATCTCAAGAAAAATGAATAAATTTTTGCTACAATAATGGATAAATTAGTCAGTGTTAAAACAAGTACAAACGGCAAAAAAAAAAGTACTTAAAATTCCAATAATTTTCGAATGGGAATTTCAAAATAAAAACTAGTTTCAATTTCATAAATAAGAACAGCTTTTCCGGCATTAAAAATTTTCAAACTAATTATCAAATGTTAATTTTTTTTATTCCATCATAATCCCTGTATAATTTTTTACACACAATCTTAATTTTTAAGTCGTATAGTTTTTTGTGCAACAAAGTAAAATGTAAAGCAATAACCATTGGTAAGAGTTTAACTAATTTGTGGCTTCCAGTATACAGTGAGCAAAATAAAAAACAAACCAACCTGAATAACTTTTGGTCTAAAGCTTGGATCTTAACGTCCAGGACTCTTTCTTAATGGTTGGAGAGGATGACCTCAAATGTATTAATTAATTAGTGCACACGATATTTTAAGTTACGAAATCAGACACAAAAACATGCTTTCTTTGAATAAACATATTTTTTGTCACAACGAATTCAGATTTCTGACTGCCAAAATAAAAAGGAGTAGCCACAATTTAGGAAATAAGGACCCAATAGTTTCAGATGAGCAATCTGAAGTTTGAACCCTTTAAAGTTAATTTTACTTTTTGCATATTTCGAGAACTTTTAAAGTGAATTGAAAAGTTTTTGCACACAATTATAAAATTCATTTATCCTAAGATAATTCTATGTAAAAAATAAATTTTAATAAATATTCATTATTACTAAATTATTGTGAAATCTGTCGAATAAATCTGTCTTGTAAAATCGAATTTTTAAAATGCGATTTTCTTTTCGCTTAAGAATTTCTGGAGATAGCAAAATACGCAAAAAGTAAAATTACTATTAAAAGGTCAAAATTTTGAACTGCTCTCTTGACCAAACTATAGAGACCATATTTCCCAGATTGCGGCTACCTACTATATTTCTGGATTAAGAAATCTGAATCCGTCGAGAAAAAGGTATGTTTATAAAGAGAAGCGTCTGATTTCGCAATTTAAAAAATCGTCCGAACTAATTAATTGGCATATTTGAGGTCATATTGAAAATGTGAAGATCTGATCAAAGAATGAAACTGATTTACATAAGTTCAGAAAAAGACAAAATAAGTAAATAAATTTTAAAATAATAAATCAAAATGGAAAAGCTCTAAAACAAAATTCGTCTTATTTTAATTTAGAAAGTTAGAAATACAATTGTAGCAGAAAACGAAGAGAATTTCAAGATATGTGAGTTAGCAAGACAGCACTTGGACACACTGCCTGACAACACACAAAACTGTCGAATATTAGAAAAGTTGAAATGTAAATGCAATTAAAAATTAATGACAATCGAACGCAATTTAAAAGTACATAGACTTAATAGTGAAACGCCTACATATAAGAAAAATAAAGTTTCAGTTAGAATAACCAAATCAAAATAAAATATAAATTGCCAAATCATTAAGAAAAC